ACCAATTTCCCTTTTAAAAATATGGCAGAAACAAAAACCTTTTTCTTAAAAGGAAAAAAAAAAGGGGTAAAATGTGAACCTAAAAAAGAACTTAATCTACAAAAATTTACACAAGTCTCTACCTATTGTAAGTAACTCATTTAAAAACTAAACACTCTTTCATCCATCTCTAACCAAATACATAAGACTCCTTGGCTTCTTTCAAATCAAAAAATTTCTTCTAAAGTTACACCGGTTTCGATTCTGCTGTCAACAATTTGGTGCGATTGAACCGGCTTCTGCAGCATGGATGCTCCTTTGAACCTCACCATTTGGTAGCACGTCTTTATGTACTTGCCGAGCTATTGCAATGAAGAGTTTAAATGTTATGAGATTCTCTTAGAACATATTTCACAATTCACAAATCAGTCGAATCAACTGTTTTACCTGTTCAGGTGCGAGTTTTCTGAACCCAAATTTGTTCATCCATAAGGGCTCTGCCTCTTCAGCTGCTGGAACAACGATGCTCTCAACATTCAGGAATGAGAGTAGCTTCTCAACGCAAGAGAAGAGCAATTGAAAGTATCCCTACATTGTATAAAACCCCATGAAACTCGGTTAGAGGAAACTCTAGTCAATCAGGAAACAGAATTCTATCTTCCAGATATGGATTTTAAAGGGACAAGAAGACATCACCTTCTCTCGGCTGCATACGCGTGTTGCAACTAATGGAAATTCTGCAAATTCTCGGCCAAATACCCGTAGCAGTCCAGCCGAAACAACAGTTGCACTACATAAATTAGCAGGGGAAAAAGCCAAATCAATGGTAAATCGCAATTAATATATGGCCTCTGGCTAGATACAAACAAGGAAAGGATCTTACTTCACAGTCAAAACAGCACAGCAGATTCCTCCGTAATCTTGTCCTTGCATATTTTTCCTAAACAAATAAGGCACTTGTGATTGTTATTGATATAATTGAGAGTGTTAAGAGGGTTGAAGTCAGACTACTTGAAGCAGGCATTGATGGAAAAGAGTCCTCACCCGTAAACCATTCTCGGAATAAGATTGCTCCCGGAAACTGGATCAACTATAGGATCAAAGCAATCCTGGAAGAGAGACATTGAATGAACTTAGGGTACAACAAATTCCTATTGATCAGAGCGAAATTGATGAAGGCCAAACGTTTGCATATGATGATTCCATTATATGTAGCACAATGAGTTTCTAATTTTGAACTGCAAAGCCACTTACATGAAAAATAGCCAATGCCTGAGACAGCAACAATCGGCTTTCAGGAGAAGTAACTTTGCCACTTATCAGTCTCCATCTGATGTCAAGATGACTGACAGGATCAATATCAGTTCTTTCTTGCTTCATCTGTAGTATTTCCAAAGAAGAATCTGAAAGCTTCTCAGCACCACCAAGAAGTAACTTTTGTAATGTGGAGTTAATCCTCGTACAGTCCATAGAGCAAAACCAATTTCCTTTAGGTAATTCCTGTGAGAAAATCATATTATCCCGTGTAAGCTGATATCAGGGTACACTATGTACAGTATTGATCTAATCTATGCACAAACACAGAAGATTGTAAGCTGGGAAAAAGCTATGTGCGGCCACCTTTAAATCCACAATATTGTGACTACTCAGACATCCAATGTGGTACTCCTTTTCACACTGTTGCAAAATACAGATAAGTAACAGTAGTAATTAGTTTGATATGCAAAATACTGAATAATCTAATTTTTACCCGCCACGATTGAGAAAGTACCTGATCACATATTATGATTGTCCGTGGCCCAAATCCAGATCTGCAAAAATCGGAACCACTGTGGACCAAAAAAAAAAATATTAGCTAAGATAGTTAACATATATACTGTGGTTTAGTTTTAAACTGTTGGCCAGAATACAAAAGGCGACTTTTACATCAAAACCCACGCTTCTAAGACACTTTAACATAGACCTAATGGTCTTCTGATGTAACTGATGAAACAATTAATTCTAAGGTAGACCTGATTGTCTCTCAGTACAAATAATATCTGATGTAACTTGAAGGACAGAGTAGTCAAATAATTTGAAGCATACATTAAGAAGAAGACTTTAGACTCAGCCAGAATGATTACCTGCATAGTACACACCCATTTGTTTCAGCTTCCATGTTCTTGACAACTCGAATGCATCGTCCAGCTAACTGATCAGCATGATCAACTCCTTCTAGTTGAAGTTGAACAGCTGCAGAAGAGTTAACATCGTACTCTCCAACAGTTTCGCTCTTGGCCTTTTTCTCGCAGTATTTGCAATGCCAGTTACCGCGAGGAATACTTGGAAGGGAAACACATTCTACATAGACCAAACAGATATATTGAGCAAAAGTCATTGGAAAACTCAACAGAGTGATCCAAAACATAACAATGTCTACAGACCCTACTGTTTGAGAGACTTGATCTGAAAGTTCAGTAAAGTGGCTAAATGGCAAATATTTTTCGAAGTGATCCTGCTTGTAGATATATGCATATCTATTTCTAGATCAGTATTATAATCATACAATTAATAAATCCTGCATGCAATACTTTACCAGCAATTGTAGGTACCGAAGTAGAGGCAAAATCATTAGAAAGAAAGTGATGCATGCTGCAAAATTGATTTAAGTACAGCTTTACCTATGTGGAAGGCTCTAGGGCAGCTATCGCAGAGCATAAGATTTCCACCATCAGCACAAATAACACATAGGTTGTCATTTTCATTAGCAGAATATTTCCGGCCTTGTGAGAAAGTCATTGCCCATTCGTGAAGAGACACACCATTAGATGTATAAATGTAAAAGTAACTGCAACAAATAGAAAATAATCAGACATAGAAATGCAAAAAATTCAATGTAAGAGAGACAGAGGAGAAAATTCGCACGGTTTTCTACGAGATGCCCAGCCTGCATGAGCTTCAAACAGAGAGGGGCTCACCTGCATGTAAAATGCCAAACTAAGAACTAACTGATAAAGCATGATGTAATGTGTATAATATCCAAAGTACCTCATTCTTGCAGCAGTAACAGTATATTCCAGCACCCATTTTGTAGCCTCCAACCAATTTCTGCCAGTGTTATATGTCTTAAAAGAGAAGGCCAGGTGAAGAGAGATATAACCACACAGAGAATAAGGTAAGTAACCTTTCCACGGGCATAGTATCCTAGTTCAGTTCCATCTGGTAGTCCCCCATTCTCAAACACTAACTTATGCAATTGATCCCTGTATGAAAAAAGAAGATATATGTAAAACAAAAACCAGCCAGTACAAACGAAATTAAGGTTGCTATAAATAAATGATACCAACTTTCTGGATATTCTATAAGTCCTCTTTTTTGAAGAAGCAGAAAGGGATACGCTTTTTAAAGCCTTCGGGGTCACAGAATGTTGGGAAAACCTACAAGAACTACAAGGAAACCAGACACAACAAAATAAGTCTCTTTATCATCCATGTTAATTTGGTTAACATCATCAAGAAGTAAGGATACCAACATCTTCTTAAATTTAGATCTGCACTTATTTTGTGAAGATATATTTGAAGATGCACTAAGAGCCTTCCCAACCAAAGCTTGACGTAATGCCCTGAAATGCAAGGTGATGACTTAAGATTTTATAACCAGATTCAAAAAAGGCAGACATGCACTATATATAACATGCCTAAGAAGACAACAAAATTTGCAAATTGAGTCCTATCTTATGGTTCAGAAAAGTGTAGTTTCTTCATGCAGTGATTGATGAAGATGCAAGATACACAACAAAA